GATATTTTAATCTATTGTTACCCTTTTTTGGGTCTTTTTTTGTTTGATTGTTTTCCCCTTTTTGGAAAATAATTGACTGGCACTAGAACTATGCCCTAAAAATCTTTCGGCAACCATCACCACCTACCTGCCCCCTTCGGGTCATTCCAGTTCACCCCACCTAAGTAATTTTTCATCCTATGAAATCAGCCAAGGAAAGCGGAGGGAACTTTTGCCATTTTGGGGGAATTCCATGATATTTTAAAAAACTGAGGGATTTGTATCACTCCCCCCAAAGCTCTCATTAACTAAAGATTATTAATTAGTGTTTCCCTTGGAAAGAACCAAGTCAGGAAAGGTTTTTTCCCCCTAGTTGGCTCGCACAACTTTTTTTAAAAAAAATCCCTGGATCGTACAAAAAATCCCCCGACCAAAATTTCCTGTAAAAATTGCTCCATCAATCTGTCTTTTTGGAAACCCCATTAGCCAACTTTTTCGTTGTAATGCCCTACGAATTTCGCCCCATAAAGTTTACTGCACCCCCTATCAATTTTTGGGGGGCCCTAAAACACACCCAAAAATTAGTTTTTCCGGCCCTCGAGAAGCTGTAACCAAACGATTCAGGGCTGACGTTTTTTTTAATTTAATATCTTGTCAAACCAAAACAATTTAAATTGTCTCTGACATACATCGTACCCACCCCCTTTCCTGTTGACCCTGTCAGTGGGGAATATTTATAGCCTTGTATGTGACATTCAGATGGCATCTCTCTATCTTTCAGATTGAGCCGGGCCCTTTTTATAGCAAAATATCTTGTTTCCTGCATTGCAATTAATTTAGTTCTATCTTATTTCTAACACCCCTGCTATTAGTTAGAAAACCCTTAAAGGGGAGCTAGTCCCTTGCTCCCCTCTGCTGCCCCCCTTTTGTTTTCTCCCGTTCTATTGTCTTTATTTATAACTTCATGTGAATGCCTTTTATACATTTATTTTTTTCCAACCCTAGTGTTGCAACCTGTTTTTTCCCACACAACCCATCCCTCATCTTCCACAGTTTAAAATCAAGGCATTTCACCAAGGCCTTCTAAATCGATCTGCAATGTACCCCCCCTGCCCCAGAAGATAAACCCCCCATCCCTTGATAATATCATGTTTCCCATAAAAGTGTTCATTTGTCATGTGGGATTGCAAGTTCCTTGCGTATCTGTCTAGCCACAATTTACCCCAAATCCCCTAAAAACCCATTCTTTCCTACTCCCTTCTAGAAAGGTCTATATTGGGACCCTTTTTTGACTTAATAAATCTATAGTGACCTGTCTTATCAGCAGCTCTTCTCTCCTCCCCTTCCAAATATTTCCACCAGATGGACGTAATGGGCTTGTTCCATTCCTGTTTGTATTACCCAGTCTGTTGACAATTTTCCAACCCAGTCCGGGGGAAGCCACTCATTTCATCTTCTTATTCTTTTACAAAAAGAGGGTCAACAATTTACCTGAGAGTCCCCAACCCAAGAATTTACCTTCTTAGCGGGGGCAGTATACCCTTCCCTTCAGGGCCATGAAAATTCATCCGGGGAACAAAAAGGGCGATTTCCTACCTTCAGATTTTCACTCTTAATTTTCCTACTCTGAGCGCCCCCCATTATGTAAAAATGCCATTGTAGCAGGTGCGGGGGCTGCACCCATGCGGTTTCCCGGCTACCTCCCCCCCCACACCTCCTCACAGGGGAGCAATGCACCCACTCTAGAACCCTCTTTCCCCCACATCCCAACCCATCACTCTCCCCCCAGGCCTTGGGGGTGGCCCTTCACCCTCCTAATCCCTCCTGGAGAAGAAAGACCTCCCCTTAAACTTCCAAATTTCTGACCTGGTGATCTCGCCCGGGTGTCTTGACCTGGTTGTGAAAAAACCCCCTTTTATTCTGGGTTTACTCTGCTTTTGCAAAGGGAGGTTTGGGGGGATACTTCCCTACGGGGGGAAACCTCACCTAACATTTTTACGGTAAAAGGTCTCCTTGGTATACTGTGAGGGCTTCCCTGTCTAACTATTACCTTTTTATTTTTTTGTGACTAGGGTTTTTCCCCCGGGGCATGGTCTTCCCCCCTCCCCTCTCAAAGGGGAAAATTCATTCCCGTAAATCGTTCAATCGCGTCTTTCCAAAATGCCTGACTCCAGCTTCGATGGGGCTCCGAAATGAAAAACCCCACTAATCCTCTGCAGTACAAGAAGTACTCCAACCTTCGGAACTTAGTTGGGGAAGCGGTGAATATATTAATATATAATATTTTATATAAATTAAATATATATATATATATAAAATAAATTTTTATATTATTATTACATATATTTATATAAAAATATATATATTATAAATTTTTATATTATATATATATTTTATAATATTATATATATATTCATCATACAAACTTATTAATCACAATTTTTTCTGCTCTTTTAGAATTGTTATCTTGCACCAGCAGTACGACCATAAGCTGGTTTTCAATTCCCCTACATCTTTTCTCCATGATGTTCTTTGGGGAAATCCAGTGTTATCATATCCTTACTGAAAATTTGCGAAAAAGAATCGGGAAATGAAAAAATGAAACTTGGGGCATCCCACATCCCGTAGGGGTTTTGTCAGTACTCTTTCCCCAATATTTCTGAGTCATCATTCTATGACTGCCCCGGAAAAAAAGCGAAATTCTTGATGCCCCATTTTCTCAGCTCAGCACTTTGCAAATTTCGTCAAAATGAAGATCGTTTAGTAATTACGAATCTGAGGGGCCCATAAACACCTTCCCACAGTTGGGTCCTTTTGGGGAAATCTCCTTCCACAGGAAACTTGAAAAATTTGTTCAAATTTCTTAATAAGGGCCCAATTTTTATGTGTAAAGGCGGTTATGTTTTTTTGGTGATTATGCCTGTGTTCACGCTTGCCTCTTTTGATTCTCCGTTACTCAGGTACTTTGTATGTAGTGCTGCTATGTATCTCCACTCTCCCCAGCACAGGAAACAAACAAAATTTTTAAATCCAATTTATTTCCGGGCACTACAGTTTTCCCCCCAAAATTTTTATTTTCGATCAAGGGGAAAGTTATTTGTTGAATCATTGTTTTTTGAACATCTATTTTGGCTCTGGGGGGCTGGTGGAAAGCTTCCCTTCCCCCGGTGAGGGCCTGGGTTCGATTCCCCCGCCAGGTAAAACATTTGGGCGTTTCTTTCCACCTGTTTTCTATGTTTTCCCCCTCAGTAAATGGGGCCTGGGGGTTTTTCGACTGTGTGGGTCGCACCTGGCCCTGCCTAAAGGGGGCCTGGCACGCCGGGCCCGGGGGGGTTTACCCCGGGGAAATCCTTTCCCGGTAAATCCCGGTAAAAGCCCTAGACTCATTTGGGGAAACATAAACCAAAAACCATATTGCAGATAACGAGGTTTCCCCCGCATCGAAAAATCCATTAACATCACAACAGTGACATATTGATTTCCCAAATTTAAAAATTTTTAGGCTGTCGTTTTCTAAACAAAATATTTTAGTGTCCGGGGGTGGTAAAATTTACTGGGACAATCTTGAACCAACTCTGACTGTTTCCTTGGTAAAATTTAAATCACGCAAAATTCTCAAGTCACTTTGATCATGCCATATTCCGATTTTTGACCCATGGTTCACACGGGGTTAAGTTATGGTTTCTTATCTTTACACCAAGGGGAAAACCCCCCTACAGGATGTTTGGGACTAACGGGGGGGAAATTCCCCCAAAAGTTTTACCCTTGATTCCAAAGGAAACCAGAAAAGTTATTTTTAATTTATTTTATTTTCATGAAAATCTCGATACTCTCGTGACACAAAAATTACAACTCGTGGTGGGATACTTTGGTTCCCTCCACACCGCCGGGACTACAAACACCAACATGACCTCCTTCCAGCAAACAGCTAGCTTAAGAAGTTGCAACAAGTCACACAACAGCGTTGTGGTGCCCATAACTTGGCCTGATCCAACCTTCACACCAGTGCAGTGAAAAATGATGTTTTCACAAGAGGCGTAACGTTCCATCACTGCTTTGTCTAAGTAAGGCAGCCACACACATTTAACAAAAAAACATTACTGTCGTATAAGGAAGAAAGAAGCATTGTCGACTCTTAACTTGACTGTTTACATCACCATTTGTACTGAAAAGGATAAAACATACAATTCATTATAACAATATAATAAACGCACTCAGCCTAAATGAAACCATAAATCATCTCCAAAAACTGATTAAGTACTCAGTAAACAGTGTAGATGAAAGGTAAGTAGTGTGAGGGAGGGGGGGGGGGGGGGGGGGGGGGGAACGAGGGGTTCGGTTTCACCAAGCTGTGCGTGCTGCAGCAAAACCAAGTTCAGATTTTTGAGTTCACAGTCCAGAAAAATATGTGAAACACGTTTTTAAGTTTTGAAGTGAAATCTTTATTGACCAGTGAGACGTGTTCTGTCACTTCTCGTGATTATAGACGTGTTCTGTCACTTCTCGTGATTATAGACGTGTTCTGTCACTTCTCGTGATTATAGACGTGTTCTGTCACTTCTCGTGATTATTGACGTGTTCTGTCACTTCTCGTGATTATAGACGTGTTCTGTCACTTCTCGTGATTATAGACGTGTTCTGTCACTTCTCGTGATTATAGACGTGTTCTGTCACTTCTCGTGATTATAGACGTGTTCTGTCACTTCTCGTGATTATAGATGTGTTCTGTCACTTCTCGTGAGTATAGACGTGTTCTGTCACTTCTCGTGATTATAGATGTGTTCTGTCACTTCTCGTGAGTATAGACGTGTTCTGTCACTTCTCGTGAGTATAGACGTGTTTCTGTCACCTTCCACCTTTCTATCTCCTTCCATCCTTCTGTCTCTTTCCATCCTTCTATCATCTCATAAATAACAAACAGGCACAATACCGTGACTGGAACGATACACAAATAACCCCACATAAAAGAGAGAAGCTTACGACCGAAAAGCTTCTCTCTTTTATGTGCGGGTTATTTGTGTATGCTTCTGTCATCCCCTTTCCATCTCCTTTCTACCTTCTATCCCTCCCTTCTTATATTTACTTTCTTACCCCTTCCTTTCTACCTCCACTCCCACCACTCCTTCCTTGCCTCCAGTCCCTCTTCCTCCCTCCTCCCCTCCCTCCCTCCTCCCCCCCCTCCTTCCCCCCCCCTCCCTCCCCCCCCTCCCTCCCCCCCTCTTCAACATAAATATTCTCTTCTTCATCATTTGCTATGATACATTCTGACATTTCAACGAATTATTGAAAAATAAGTGGAAATATTTGCTCTGGCAGTGTCTCAAGGTGAAAGCTGTCCCTTGAGTGGCAGTTTAAAACCCCTCTGAGAGGGGGGAGTGGGGAAAAGGTGAGAGGGGAAGAGAGTAAGAGGAGAAAGAGTAAGAGGAGAAAGAGGAGGAGGAGGAGGAGGAGGAAAAGGATTGAGTGGGTCAGAGAATATATATGTGTTGATTCCAACTCACTTTAGATACTGTGTGGGAAACACTAGCCTGAGCGTGGGAGTCTTGTGTCAGCCTGAGCTGGGAGTCTTGTGTCAGCC